TTTGAATAATTTAGATTTATTGTAAGAAGTTTTGTTTGATTCCTTTGTAAACATTTGTTTTAAGTTGTTATTCTGGGAAGGATAATTTTCTGGCCTAAATTTATTATAATTTAATAAAAATATTAAAAGTATATAAACATAAATATAAATATATTAATTACCATGTTACTGATATTGCTTTCTTGTTAAGAATCATTTCACATGTTGCCCAACTGAAACGTATAATATTTGGAAATCCAAATACTGAATCAATATTATTTTCTAACCAATTAACTGTATTTGGATCTATTAATCAATATATAAATAAATAAAAATCATCAAAATAACAAAAAAGTTAATAATATTTAACCTGAAGGATACCCTGAACCAAATTTAGTTGAAATAATTGTCTTTTCAATAAATTTCCATTTTTTCAAAATATGATCTCTAGTGACTTTTGCACAAATACTTGCCGCACTAACTATTGGATATTTACTATCTGCTTTTTTTGAAACTGTAATATTTATTGATGGAAAATTACTTGAAAGTTTTTTTTGATATGAATCTGGAGGTCCTACTGTGTCTACATATATCTTTTAAATAAACATTTATTTATTCTATACTGTTTACTAAAAATATTTCAATGTAGAAAAAAAAAATCTTCAAACCTCTGTTAAATTGACACCTTGATCTAAAACCTGTTGTATTAGTTGAATCGTTGTCTCATGTGCCTGTGCATTCAAATTATGTTTATCTAACTTTAACATATTCCAAGAAATATCTTGAGGTGAAAGTACTCTTACACTCCAGGAAATTATATCATTATTGGATTGGATTAATTGAAAATGATCTTCTCTTTGACCTTCTTTTAAAGTCTTTGAATCTATTCATATAATAATATTATTATTTTACTTTATTTATAAAAAATTACCTACACAAAAAAAAATTTTACTACTTCACTTACAAACCCTAATTTGCTTATTTCGCTGTATTTTGAAATGGGACAATAACATACTCCATAAACCATTGGTCCTTTTGTTTTTTTTTTAAATAAAAAAAGTATAATTTTCAATTGTTTAGAATTACAAAAATTTTTTTAAAAAAAGTTTAACCAATATTTACCAAGAACAGGACCTCTGCCTGCCTCATCAACTCCTAATACACAAGGTACATCTTTATTGTTATCTGATAATAAAAAAGCAGGCTTTGGTGAATGATAAGTGTAAGAGGAGGTTAAAGGAGTATCATTAACTGAAGGAACTTCAATTAAAGTTGTCGTTGATATTTTTCCTTCTTTCTCTTCTTCTTCTTCCTCCTCCTCCTCCTCCTCCTCCTCCTCTTCCTTTATGTGATTTTCAAAATCTTCTTGTTCACCATCAAAAGTAACGAGCATTTTTAACTGAGATATTTATTTACAAAAAATCTAATCGAATTTTTGATACATGTAAAACGCGACGAGTACATAGTGACACAATAAATTTCAGGGTAAACGAGATTCTAACCTCAATAACGTGATCGGGCTTGAAGTACTAGTACTATTAACTGGGTTTTCCGGTTAATTTTTGGAAAAATCTGGTTGAAATTATAGAAGCTGGTGATTTATTGGCAAAATGGATTTTTTTGGATTAATAACTTGGATTTATTAGGTGTAGGTAGTAGGGAGGGTTAAAAAGTCCCATCACTAGGCGCAACGTTACATTAATAAATATAGAAAATAAGCTGTACACGAATTTTCACAGGTTTAGAAATATCAAGCAGATGTTAAAAAAATTAGAATTCTATAAATCTAATCAAATGGCAATTGGTTATTATTATCAATCAATTTAACTGATAACCATTTTGGTGTT